AAAACTTTGGAAATTCATTTTCATGCATTCAAATTGATTCATTTAGCGTTTATTAATGTAATTAAGTAAGTAACTTGTGACTAGATACGAGCGAATTGGTGGTGGAATCACAGGGTAAAACTATAATTGAATCGTGAATTGTGTTTGTGGCATCGAGATAAGTGTTTGGTCTAACATTAGCTTGAGGGATTAAGAGTTGAGTCCTATTTGCTATGTGTTAATTGTTGAGTACAACGTATAGGCATGGTGACGAGTATCTATACGTTGGTGTCTAGCATGCCCGTGAGTCTTTATATTGTGATTATCATGACTTCATTGTATCTTTCATGCCTTAGTGGTGGTTTCTATTTGTTGGTTAAAGTTTGTGGAAGGAATTGTGACCTATGAACATTGAGGAGCGTGGCTCAAGTTGTATAACGAATTGTGAAAGTGTAAGTGAAAATTAAACCTCTAGAGTATTGGCTCGAGTTGTGAAGTGAATTGTGAAGTAAAAGTGAGAAAGAGAAGAGATCATTATGTTGTCGCCCTTGCCGGGCTATTGTTGATTTATTCGTTACCTCCCTTGACGGGATGTTGAGGTTATTGATGATGTTCCCTTGCCGGAATTTATTTGTTGAATTGTTGTTCCCTAACCGGGATCTTTATTGTAATTTCATTTATTTCCTTGCCCTATTGTTTGTGATTATTGTTTGGGTGAGGAAGAGAGTTAAAGCACGAAGGGTAATGTCGTGCATTGTTTGTTTTGTGAGGAAAGAGTGTAAAGCACGAAGGGTGATGTCGTGTATTATTGTGAGGAAAGAGTGTAAAGCACGAAGGGTGATGCCGTGTATTATTGTGAGGAAAGAGTGTAAAGCACGAATGGTGATGTCGTGTCACACGATGTACCATTCTGTGCCTATTATATTGATTTCATGGTAAGGATGAGAGTAAAAGCACGAAGGGTGATGCCGTGCAATTTATATTGATTCTTATAGTGAGGGCGAGAGTAAAAGCACAAAGGGTGATGTCGTGCACTTGCCCTTGATTTTCCTGATTCTTGCTGATAATTGAGTTATGTTGTCCTTTACGTTTATTTACTGATTTTCTGTTGTTACTTGATTTAATTTCGATGTTATAGATTCTCTTACCCTATTTGCCTTGTAATTGTTGCTTGGGTGAGGAAGAGTGTAAAACATGAAGGGTGATGCCGTGTACTGTTATGGTGAGAGAGTGTTAAAGCATGAAGGGTGGTGACGTGTATTGTTTTGGTGAGAGAGTGTTAAAGCACGAAGGGTGATGTCGTGCACTTGTCTTTGATTTCCTAATTTTAATTGATAACTGAGTTACAGTTTTTCTACATTTAATTGCTGGTTTCCTGTTGATACTTGTTATACCCCGCAGCATGATTTCCCCTTCCTATTTTTAGTTGAACTGTGGTGATCCTCATATTTATTTGTTGTTCTTCTGTTACTATTCGATGTTTCCCCGCAGCATGTTTCCCCCTCCCATACTTGACTATAGATTATTGTTCTTCTTTTCCGCTGTATATAGTTAAATTGCACAAGTTTATTTGGTAGTCTGGTCCTAGCCTTATCATACTTCGCCGAGGTTAGGCTAGGCACTTACCAGCACATGGGGTCGGTTGTGCTGATACTATACTCTGTACTCTTTTGTGCAGACCCCAGTGTTGTAGACTTCAGACCGCAGTGGGATTGCTGATTCTTGTTCATTGGGCGACCCGAGGTAGCCCTGTAGGCGTCCGCAGGCCTAGGCGTCTCCTTCTATCTACTATTCTTGTTTCTTTCATGCATTTCCAGAGACAGTGTTGTATTGATTTCTTTCAGGCCTTTATTTGTAGTATTCTTAGACCGTCTATGAAACCGTGACACCAGTTCTGGGTAGTCGAGACTCAAACAATTGTATTAGATATTCATGTTCAGATAGCTTATTGTTTTTCTTCCGCTTATGTTAAATTCCGTTGTTTAAATGTTATTTCTTCGTAATTGTTAAAGAATATAAAATGGGTAAAAAAGGTAAATTGATCAAATAATTGGCTTGCCTAGCTCACATTAGTAGGCGTCATCACGACTCTCGAGGATCATGACAATATGTATCTTTTGAAACTTTCAAATAGGAAACACAAATCTATATATATATATATATATATAAATATAAAGTTGGGACAATAAAAGATGAGGTAGCACCTCTCTTTGGCCAAAGATTGTATTTATCTATTTTCTCCTTTTTTGATTATTTCTCTCACTTTTCGTGTCAAATATAATTTTCCCATCCATTTGCAAGTAATAAATTTGTACAATTAATATGATAACTGAAAAATACTCACCACTTAATTATATGGAAATTGAAACGGCAGATCATATTAAATATCTTTTTGTAACCGACACACTAATCCTTCAAGTACAATCCTTATTAATCTTGTATTGTCGAATTCCTCGCTTTCATATAACAACAGTGGGACAACCATCTCTGCGGAGAATTGCTCTCAAAGGAGGTGAAGCCGCTTTTCAATTTTTGACTAGCCATTCCTATATTTAGGAATGGTCATGGTTCGGTTTGGATCTGTTTTTCCCTAAAAGGAAATCAAACTAATTAAGTCGGTATTTCAAGTATTAGAACCAAACCAAACCAATTAAGAGAGTGTTTGGCTAAGCTTATAAGCTGGTCAAACTAGCTTATAAGCACTTTTTGGCTTATCTACGCATTTGGTAAAATTAAAAGTACTTATAAGTTAAGTGCTTATAAGCCAAAAATAAGCCAAAAGTCATAAGTTGGTCTCCCCCAACTTATCAAATTTCAGCTTATAAACACTTTAGGTTTGACCAAAATATTTACTATTATATCCCTAAAATACTTCTTTTTAAAACAAAACTCTTCGTATACCCAGTTCTTCAACTGCTTATTATTAATTTTAACATTTTTACCCAAACACATAACTACTTATTTTAAATCAACTTCAGCACTTAAAAGTGTTTTTCAGCACCTAATGCTTATCAGCTACTCTAAATCAGCTAAGTCAAACAGGCTCTAAGTCGTTTTTTATCGATTCGGTTTATGTTGGTTTTTCGTTTTTTTCGGTTATGTGTCGATTTTTTCTTAAATATAAGACACACTACCAAACACATATTCGGGCGACCACATTTTCAATGTAACACTATCAAATCAATTGCCTTTTGATAAATCTATTATTTACCAAGATATATTGATGATAATTGAATCAAATAGTGATAATAATTTAAGGACTCAATTAAAAAATATGTTATTTTTAACACGAAATGGATTCTTACGCTAAACAAAAGAAAACTACCAATCAAACTAGAATGTAAAGGTAAAGAACTATATTAAAAGTGCAAACTATTAACATTTACCATAAATTTTTTGAAACTTTGTATATATATAGGTGTAATAATAAATTTAAAATAGCTACTCCTATAGTCGGTTTGGTTCGGTTTTTTTCTGATTAAAACCAAAACCAAACCAAATTTGATCGGTTTTCAAAATTCAAAACCAAAACCAAACCAAACCAAAAAGTATCGATTTTTTTGGTCGGTTTAATTTGGTTTTCGGTTTGATTCGGTTTTTCGGGGTTTTATGAACACCCCTACCTATATCTAATAGGTTTCTATGACAATTACATGTTGATGTTCATTTCATATTTCCAATTTAGAATTATTAAGTGAAGATATATTCCAGTAGTTTGTGTCCTTATTTATTTCTTAAATTTTCTTTTCACTTTTTTGCTATAATTCTTTTTATGTTCTAAGAAGTTTTTTATTTTCTAACTAGCAACAAAAGGGCTTGCTCTCGTCAAGGTAAGTTTTAATTATCTCCTCCCCAAATACACATGTGGTTGTAGGTTACATGATCATTAGTTTCGGAATTGAATGTTACAAATTTTATTCTAATTCAAATTTATCAAATGCCTAACTAATTCCTTCATTAGTAAATATAAGGAATGTTGAATTTGTGTATCATAAGTTATGCTGAATTTTTGTTTGTACATGAGCAAATGTAACTATGGAAACAGTATTTTAGCTTTGTTAAACTGTATTCGAAAACTCGGATTTTTCTTTTCTTCTCTATTTTTCCGTGCAATGAGAAGTTTTGTTGATGTATCATGATTCTTTGTGACTGCTCATTAACCCTTCAGTATATGAAATTTCAAAGGGTATAATATCCACTATATACATAGACTTATTCTACAACACGGTCTACCCATATTTCCTCTATTATTTCAAGAAAAGAAGATAATCACAGTGTTTAAATTGGCTATCGAAATATTCTGTGAAATGTTAGGTCAAATAAAGAAGACATCTCATGTTCGCCAGCGTAATCGTATTCTTTTGCTGGGGGTTTCCCTCACAGTTAATACAACTCTTATTGAAAGTGAAATAATGAACGAGAAGAGCTTTCCTTACGTAATAGTATAAACAAAATTTCAAAAACATCATGTTATAAATTCACTGATGATATCTTTTATGTCTGCGCGAGGCGCAGGCAACTTCACTAGTTACTTAATAAAAATGCAACAGTAGAATTAAGATAACTTAAATGAGAACAGAAGGATCGAGAGATTAATCAGTCTAATCGTTCGTAATATAGCTAACACAATGCAGTCAATTGACCAATTATCAAATCATCTCAGAAGTAGTACTATTCTATTGTGGGCTTTGAATTGACAAAACAGGAATATGTTCCATGATATTGATTGCTCTAGAAAACATTCCATATAAACAATAAAATAAATATACAAAAATAATGACCTGTACCAGCATGTCAAGAAAGCAAATTCTGTTTAAGTTTAAGAATACAACACCTCAGTTCCAAAAAAGTTGGGATCAACTATATGAGTCCTCACAGACCATGTTTACTTTAACAACGACGACAACAAACCCAGTATTAGTCCCACAATTGGGGTCTGGGGAGGGTAGTGTGTACGCAAATCTTACCCCTGTGTTGAAGCTAGAGAGGTTGTTTACTTTAACAATGCAAGAAAAATAATGTCAAATACTATCGCCCGGAATGTTAAATAATCTCTGCATCTCATCAGTCATCTCATAAGCTAGATCAGTATTTCCAACCATTTCATATCCCAGAATCATTATTTTATAAGTGATGACATCAGGAGAGATGTTTTCTTTTCTCATTCTATCAAACAACCTCTCGGCCTCATCCATTCGATGTAACTTGCAAAATTTATCAATGAGGCAACTATAAGTCTTGACATCAGGAGGAATATTCTGTCTTACCATCAATTTTAGCAACTTCTTGGCCTCGTCCATCTGATCTACCTTGGAAAATGCATCAATGAGGCAAGTATAGGTAACAACAGTAGGCAAGAGTTCTCTTTTTTGCATGTCGCGGAACAAAGCACAAGCGTTTTTCACATCTTCAATTTCACAAAGGCCAGCGATCATGGAGGTGTAACAGATGTTATCGGGATTCAAACCCTCCCTGATCATTTTCCTAAATAATTTGTAGGCTTTTTTCACTTTTCTCCGTCTGTAGTGCTTTCTCACTTTTCCCCGCTTGCATAACATGTCAATAAGAATTGTATATGTGGTGATGTCAGGAGTAATCTCAAGCTTTAGCATTCCCCTGTAAAACATACCAGCCTTCTTAAAATTGGACTGTTTAACAAATCCATCGATAAGAGTATTAAGAATCATAACATTGGGAAACATGTCCCTCTGAAGCATCACTGTGATTAACTCCAACGCTTTCTTTGGGTTTATATCTTTGCACAATTGGTGAATGACTACATTATAGGTATACAAGTCTGGGACGATCCCTTGGTCCACCATTTCATCAATTAGATGCAAAGCTTCCTGCAAACGCCCTTCTTTCTCTTCTGTGTTTTCATCTTTGCACAAGTGGTTAATGACTACATTATAGGTATACAAGTTGGGGACGATGCCTTGATCTATCATTTCATCAATCAGGTGCAAAGCTTCCATCACACGCCCTTCAGTACAGTACTGCTTAACAATAAAATGGCAGGTAATGGAATCAGGCAGGAAACCTTCTCGTACCATCATATTTCGGTACTTCAACGCTGTATCAACAGACCCCATGTGGCAGGAAGCACGAATTAATCTCTTATAAATTGAAGCATCTGGAGCAAAGCTACTGCTGATCATCTCCTCCAGTAGCTCATGGGCTGAACTCAGATCTCCTTGAGCACAAAATCCAGTAATTAAGATGTTGTAAGCACGTTGCTCAACTTTGCATCCAGAGTTCTTAAGGTCATGAAGAAAATCTTTGGCGATTTTCGCTGCTCCAATGTTGCACAAACCCTTAAGAATTGAGCTATAGCTAATTGGGTTAGGCTTGATGTTATTATCTTGCATATCCTGAATAAAACACAATGCTCTATCAATACTGTAGAATTTGCAGAACCCACCGATTAGAATGCTATAGCTACAGACATCTGGTGTTATTCCAAAACTCCTCATTTCTTCGAAAACGCTTATAGCTTTACTTACTTCACCCTCAGCAAAGAATCCGTAAATAATAGCATTGTAGCAGTAAGAATTCAGAGGTTGGTTCTCATATCTCAGCTTCCGAATGAATTTCCAAGCAACATCAGGACATCCAATTCTACAAAGTCCATGGACCCATACACTATATGTTGAAGCAGAAGGATTGATCTGTTTTTCCCACATTTCTTTCAGAATTTTGTAGGCTTCTTTTATATCTACGCCGGTCTGTTGCCCTGGATAATATGTGCAGTAGAAGTTCATCATGATTGTGTATGTCCTCACATTAGGTGATGGTCCAAATTTCTTCATTGCCTCAAATAGTTTTACAAGATTCTCCTTTTGGCTTGCTTCTGCCAAGCATTTCAGTAAGAAATTACACGAATAAATACTCGGTTCAAGCCCAATTTTCTTGAGCTGATTAACAACGTCAATAACATGATCAAGCATAGTATTTGCAGCAAACACCTTGATAAGTACATCAGCTAGAACAGTTGAACTTGTAGCATTATTAGGTGATGAATGCAGAGCAATGTGGATTACATTACGCAAGTCAATACCAGTGTTCTCAAAGTTGAAAACAATATCTTTGAGCAAAGCATACACTTCTCTATCCATCCCTGCAAACACAAAAATATGTACCATCGCGCTAAAGGCGTTTATCGAATGAGACAAGCCATACTTTTTCATAGCTTTTTTAAAAGGGATTTCTTTTGCAACTTCCCAACTCAAAGACTTGCATACTCTCACTACAACTGAATAAAGCTTGCGACCTTTGCAGCTATGTGATCTTCTTATCGGAATAACAGCTTTATCAGAATCATACAATAACTGTACTGAAGAAGAACCATAATACTTTCTGCAAAGGCTTCTTTCTAAACCCAATTCATGTAAATGGTTGAATAACAGGTTGAAGGAAGAGTTTCTTGGTAACAAACCTAGTCCCATAGAAGAAAATTTTGACTACCCAAACAATTATACAACAACACCAAACCCAGTATAATCGCACAATGTGGGATCTGGAGATAGAGTATAGAGTTTGTTTCCGATAGAACCCGGCTCATACCCAAACAATTATATAAGATCAAAATTACGACAAACATTCTTTCTTCGCATAAAGTTCACATCTTTCTTCAAAATCTCAACACCCATCTAACAGAAAGAAAGATAATACCATCATCACTAGGCAAGCTCCAGTGGTCAAACTCTAAGCTCTAATGCGAAATTCAAGCAATCTTGAAAGAGGGAAGCACAAGAATGAATACTAGAGCTAAAATCGATGACGCAAACTGAAAAAGATTGGAACAGTTCACCTCAGCAATTTCAGTTTGACTGAGGGGGATCGAACAGTGCGGACCCAATATTTTTGAAAATAGGTTATCTTCTGCAAGAGAAAGCCAAGACACCAGTTTGAGGTCACGGCGGCTCAAAGCATAAGCCAGGATAGTGCTTTAGGAACCCTTAATAGTAGGCTATGGTTAATTTTCCTTAAATGGAATGATGAATATTCTTCGAAAGTAAAGGTCGGGGAGTGATTTTTTCATTGTGTTTTGCAGCTTTTCGTTGATTGGTGTCCATTTTTGCAACAGTTTCTGGATTCAAGTGCTTTCTGGGGATAACTGGGGTTTTTCTTGGATGCAGGTTCTGGTTATCAGGCAAAAACCTTCTACTGGTACTCTGGTAGAACTTTAACAAATAATTTGTAATATTGCTAGTTTTCTTTTATATATGAGCGGATGGATTCAAAGAAAAAAAGAGCAAAGAGAGATTATAAAAACATATGCATATTGCAAATTAATTTTAGCAATTGCGACCAAAATAATTAAAATAAAAGACAAATATTTATTATTACCAAGGGCCACCGACCGATCCCAAACGGCTCTTTAAAAGAAGGCTTGAGCATGAAATATTTGATTTTCTTTTTGATAGGTAAAATATTTATTCCTCATTATGAGTTATAAGTAATAATAATAATAATAATAATAATAATA